AATGGCATCAATGGATACGACAGAGATCCTTCCATTGTAGACTCTCAGCCAATGGTAGGCATTTCTAACCCCATGAAGAAACAGGAGAAACATTCTTCATAGGACATAGGGGAGAACTTAATACTAGTTTTCTACTTAATAGCGAATTAAACTGACTCCTAATGACTTATTGCTATAGATTAATGCATATTTCAACTCTCACCAGACAACATTCCTTAAGCAGTATATGGTGATTAACATAGACACCCACAGCTGTCAATGTGCAGAGAACAAGAGGCTGCAGCACTTTCCCTGGACAAAACACCTATATCAAACTTCTGCTCCCAAGGCCCAGGGATCATTGTGAAGAGAGAGGGCAAAAAGACTAAGAGCTAGAGGTGGTGATAACCACAAAGAAATAAAATTGTTCAGACAGTTGGTCAGTTACTCATATGAACTCATAGCAAGGGTGACAGCATGTACAAATCCTATAGAAACTCAAACCAGAGAAAAATCTCAGCATACACATGGGCAAGTTGGTAAGAAACCCCAACCCAACCTAAGGAAAGTACGGCAACCAATGGCTTCTGGGAGGGTCAGAGACAATCTCTTCAAGGATGGCACACTTGGTAGGTTAACCAGGCTCTAGTGGGTAGATCCAGGTAGGGGATGACCTCTAAATACCATCAAATTATATTGCATGAAAATCAGAAACATCAATAAAAAATAGAGTGCGAAAGGAAAAGAATCTATGATACATCTTTGGGTAACCTCTTTCAGCATCACTATCTGTTACAGTGAGATGGAATATTAATTAACCATTAAATAGGAGCTTTAGGGCACAGGCAGGCAAATGTAATATAAAAATAAATTCTCAATTAAACCTTAAGATGTGTAATTTCTCATGAGAATTTCTGAACTTTGGGATTTCTAATATGAACAATTAACAGTTCTCTTTACCCAAAGAGAACTAGGACAAGGTGTCTTGTCAGGTAAGTTAGTCTCGGTCTCCAGGACATCCTCTGAGCTTTTAAAGTATATGCTTTCATAAGATACTTGCAGAGAACATGCAGTTGCAGAGCACTTATCTCTGAATAAGATACTTACTGTAAACCCCTGCCTTCCAAGGTTCAGGGATCACTGTGGAGGTGGAAAGATTGTGAGAGCCAGAGCGGGTGAATGACTACATGGAAACAGTCTTCCAGAGAGCTGGCCAATTACTCATATGAACTCACAGCAGTGGTGACAGCATGCACAGGTCCTATGTAAGCTTAGGTCAGACAAAATTCCAGCATAAACATGGGAAAATGGGTAAGAAATTCCAATCCAACCTAAGGAACTTTTGGTAATTGATGGCTGCTGAGAGGGAGGGAGACAGTGCCTTACAAGAACTGGACTCCTGGTGGGCCCAGTAGATGGACCCACGCTGAAGGACATTTGGGGACACAAATCACACTTTAAAGGTTGTATTATGTATATGAGAGTATATTAAATTGGGCTTGTGGAATTGGGGGGGAGTGCAGATAGAGGAGGTGATATGATTTATTTATTTATTTAAAAATTTTATTTCTTATTTTTATTTTATGTGTATGTGTGTATTTCCTGCATGTAGGTAAGTGCACCCAGGTCGTGCAAGGCCCATGTCAGATACTCTGGAATTGGAGTTATGAGTTATGGACAGTTGTTAACTGCCATGTGGGTGCTGGGATTCAAACCCGGGTCTTCTGCAAGAACAGCCAGTGTTCTTAACCACTGAGTTATCTATCCAGCCCTATTTATTTTTATTTTATATGTATGAGTGTTATGCTTGCATGTATATAAGTGCACCCATATCATTCAGTGCCCATGGAGAACGGAGCGGGGAGTCAGATTTCCTGGAATTGGAGTTACAGACAGTTGTTACCCACTCTGTGGGTGCTGGCATTTGAAGCTGAGAATTCTGCAAAACCAGTCAGTGCTCTAACTGCTGAGTCATCTCTCCAGCCCTAGAGGAGGGATTTAAATGCCATCAAACCATACTACATGAAAATTGCAAAAATTAAATTTAAAAATTAAAATAAAATTAAATAGAAAAACACACAACAATAACAACAAAATAACAGAAACGAAACTACAAAAAAAGACTCAAGCTTCATTCTGAATCATATTTGGGTCACTGTATGAGAAATGTGTCATATGATTCCTTAATTTCCCTCCTTGGCTCCCTGTCTTCCTATTTGTCTACCTATTTGTTTATAATTACAAATACAATATGTAAAACAATATGAGTCCTTAGATTAATGGTGTATGCCACCATACCTAACTTTTATTCTTACTTTTTAGTATTTTTCAGACATTACAGATAAGTGATATAAATGTATTATAACAAAAATGAATGAATATTTTTGAATAAAATAATAAAACATATTGTTTTACATATTGTATTTGTAATTATAAACAAATAGGTAGACAAATAGGAAGACAGGGAGCCAAGGAGGGAAATTAAGGAATCATATGACATTTCTCATTAACAGTGACCCAAATATGATTCAGAATAAAGCTTGAGTCTTTTTTTGTAGTTTTGTTTCTGTTATTTTGTTGTTATTGTTGTTTTTCTATTTAATTTTCTTATTTTAATTTTTAAATAAATTGATATCAATGCCAGCCTAGTCCGTGGCCCATCGCATGCACCCCCCACAATAAATAAATAAATAAATAAATAAATAAATAAATAAATGTAAACAAGTGTGTTTTCTCACGAATAATTCAAAGAACAACATGGGATATTACCTTGTAGACTGTCAAAAGCAAATTTTAGGCAGAAAATGAAGAGGCCATCTAAGTACCTAATGCTATAACGCTAACCTCTGTTTTTCCACACCGCTCATTCAAACACAATCTATTTCTTGTATAGACAACACAAATAACAAGAAATGATTTCTTGTTATAGGAAAGCCTAATGCTTTTCAGAATTAAGAGGCCCCCTTGTGCCTTCCAATCTTCTAGTTTTCCATGAAAATCTTTAGCTCAAGTGACATTTTATACTGTTTAGAAAACTCAAATTTAGAAAATCTTTAAAGTTATAATTAAAGTGTCTGCTCTAGTTGGCTACTAACCAAAGATACTGAAACAATACCCAACATGTTATATTTCTTCATTTATCAAATTTAATACCAAGAAATCAATCAAAACCATGCATTTCCTATTTTCTCTTATAGATTTTGTTTGCACTGTTTGTACTGAAATATACAAATGCCCAGGGAGCATGAAAAACCAGAAGGGTCACTATGAATTTCTTCACCAACACTTTTTACATGTCATCAACATATTTACACAGACTCCGTAGCTTTACAGTGAACAACTAGTACACAAAACCCAATCAGTATAAAGAGGTCTAGATTTCTAATCTCAAGATATTTGGCTTTTGCTAACATTATATAAACATTCAATCTTATCATTTAAAAACACATTCCTCTATAATGTCATCCTGCATATTGGCAAGTTCTGCACAGAATGCATTTATTACCAAATTATTCATAAATACCAGGAATACAATTTCATCAACAGAAAAGAAATCCACATGTTCATTACTCACAAGGATTTCTCATATTTGGAACACTGTCTACAAAAGTATTCTATTATGGGCAGAAACATATTTATTTAGAAGGTGTTAGAGTGCTTAGAAAAGTGCTAGAAAACAATACTTCCATGATAGAATCTTTGTCAAATGATTTGTTCATCTTCAAACAAAATAAAAAATATTTCCAGATGTTACATGCACTAACAACATCTGATACATCTCACGAGTTCATAAAATCATTTCTTGTTTCCTTATTGGTTAATTATATTTTTCTTTTTAGCAAGAAGTAGAAGTAAAAGAAAAACTATTTTTCCTCACCTGTACCAATTCACACCAGTTAACCTGCAAGGATAACATATATTTTGTTAAAAGTACACAGCAGGTGTTCCTTAAGTAGACTGTTGAATACTGTTGAAAAGACTGACCTTGATTACTTCCAGGTACATAAATCTGAAAGCCTCTGTTCTAACTCAAGCCTAACCCAATTTAAAGAGGACTGTTGGTTTCTATTATTTATATAGCTTCAGAGAACAATCAGATCTAAAGGATGACTTTGAACACTTAGCATTTTATTAAAAATGATGGCATTTGCTTCTTCTATGGGATACAGAAAGTGTTTAAATAGTTTTGATGCAGACATTCACAAGTACTTAGAGTACTGCTATGAAGGTGCCTTAAGCACTTTCCCCAGACACTTTGATGAAACCAGCAAATGTTTTTAATAAATAATTCATCTAGTCATTAGATAGGGTTCCTAAACACTCCTGAGTCAAAATTGTTAATCTTGTGTTTAGTCAAATAAACACTCATTCCATCCACATAATTCTGATCACTTCCTAAATACTGACATTTTTATCTTAAGATCGAAATTCAGCTTTCTTTTTCTGCTTCCATTATAACATTTGTGATAGTTGAAGAGTTTCGGTGAATAGATTTTCACAATATCTTTAAAATAAAGACTTTAACATGATTTGTAAAAATCTAAAAAAAGGAATATAGTTTGCCTTCAAGAATAATTAAAATAACAAGTGAAATATATTTCATTCTTCTATATTTAATGATCCTCAAAACACAAGGCCAGCATAAGCAGAGGAAGGAGGGATGATAAATAATTTTTTAAAAATAAGATTCAAATCCCACTTAATTTCACCTTGATCATGGATGTATTCTTGCTATCTTTACAAATTTATGTATAAACTTTATAAGTAACACAGAGTTTCTAAATCAAATTAAATCATAAATCAGTAAAAAGCTATGGATACGATTAATGGATCCTAGTATATTTTTCCTTTGGCTGAGTGATGCTGCCTTAAAGACTCAAATGTACATGAAATCAGATTTGTTGAACATACCACACAAGCACAGCACTGCTAACTGCTTCTTCCGGAATCTATCATATATATGAGCAAAATAAATCATCACTGTTGCATTTTTATTTGCAGTTTCACAATTTCCACTGTACCTGTAACGAGGTGAAGGGTTGCCTCTTGCTTCACAATTTAAAGTGATTTTTTTATCTTCTGAACCGACAGGGAAAATGCTGTTGCTGGGCTCTTTGATAAACACGGGACCTTGTAAAAGCAGCTCACCTATGTTGGTGAAATAAAAAATGATAATAAATGATATATCTTGCAAGAGCTGTAGTGTAAAGTTGAAAACAAAAAACAAGTAATAAGTATTTGTTCTCTAACATCAAAATCAAGTAGTGCTCCTCTGGCACAGCAAGCAGAAAGCAGTGTGGGCTTGACTTGGTTAAGGAGTGTCAATCAACTCATTCTTAGCAGCATGGCTATATTAATAAGATTATGTCAAACTGTAAAAAACATCTGCAATGACTACTTTTAATACCTGCACACTATACATACCTGTTGTTTGGTGAATGAACTAATTACAGGAAGCCTTTCTGTTATAAATCTCTTTGCAAAACTAAAGCTGAAAACCAGAAAAAAACCTATTCCTTTTTTTCTTAAAATCCAAGAGATTTCAATTTTAAGGTTAACTATGTTATTTTCATATTTTTAATGAAAAAATACTCAGTATTGAATGCTATTTTCATTTTGTTCTTAGTGGGTTACACAAAAGGATATAGAACTGACCAAGTACCTTTCAGAAAGCTTTTCTACTGTAGTAGAACTAGAATTTTCACAGAAGATAACTGTCAGAGTTACACATTAAAAAAAAAAATACCCACAAAACCTGCACCTCTCTAATTGTACTATGTGTCTAAAAAGACATAATGCCATCATGAAATGCCTATGCAATTGCAGTTGTGTAATAATTGCTAAAATATTTTGGAATACAAATTTGCAGAAATAAAAATTAAATAAAACCTCTTTACTCTCCTATCTTGGATTGTTCTGCAGAACTGAAGAAGAGTGAAGAGGAGTTTTATTGAAGCCAAAAATGAATAAGCAGAGAGAGAGAGAGAGAGAGAGAGAGAGAGAGAGGCCATGAATAGAGAGACAAAATGAGATCCAACAGTTCCAAAAGCCCCTGAGCGCAGCTCACATGTTGGCTACTTCAAACAGCAGTGACACCAATGCAAACATTTACAGCAATGGCAATCATAAATGCATAATATGATAATCACAATAATTGATGCGATGAAGGAAATTTTAGTAGCTAAATCTCCTAGGTGAATCCTCAGTTCTTTACTCATCATGATGTTCTTAGCAGTGAGTGCAGGTAATTGTTCCCAGTGTACAGAGAGGGAAAGTTGAGCCTAAGAGTAGTTAGGTGGCATAGGCCAGTTCACAAAACATTTCAGAATGCACAATGCATTCTCTAGAATAATTCACTGCAAGTACCATTTAAAGGCACTGTTTTTCACCCTTTGTAAAGAATTTGGCATTGCCTTAATTCTAGGTATTGTCCTAATTTCTGTGAGAAAATGTTTGGCATAGCTATTAGTTGTGTTTTGTTTACAATGGGGATTGCTATACTGAATCTTTGAGTGAGGCTGGTCACACCAGGAAGACCAGCTAGGTGACAATGGATAAAATATTTGGGTTTTAGGGTATCAACTAACCTGGAGACTGAGTTCAGCCATGTAGGTAATCACCAACCATATGGACATAATGAAATCTCAAAACTAGCCAGAACACTACAGCTCAGAGAGTTTTAACAGTTGGTAACAATCCTGTGAACTCTCCAGTGTCATTGCGAATAGAGTAACACATCCTGAATACATTAATTGTTTAGCAACTGGAACCTTCCAGACTCTAATTGTGTTTCTTCACCTTTGGCTGATTTTAGTATGAATCCTTTACCTGAAGTAAACCACAATTCTAAGTATAACAACTTGAATGACTATTGTCACTTCTCCCACTAAATTCAAGCTTCATAGATCAGCTTCCTCAGAACAAGTGTCTCTATATAGATAACCCTTACCCTCACCATTAATACTGAGTAACAACACATCACTATAGCTATTAGCCCCTGATCTTCACTTGATTATGGTAATTTTTACCTATAAAGCAAAAATGGCATAGGGAAAAAGGACTATTTTTACTTGGTAGAAGACAACTTTCAAAAGAAACGCACTTATTCTCATTTTTATTTGTGTGTATGTGTTTGCATATGCCTCATGTATGAAGTTTTCTGTAGAGGCCAGAATAAAGTGTCAGGTCCCCTGTACCTAGAGTTACAGTACACTGTGTGCTACCTGACGTGCATGTGGGGGAACTGAACTTGGGTCTTCTGTAATTGACAGGAGCAAGTAATCCTAACCACTGAGTCATCTCTCTAATCCAGAAGAAAGGAATTTTAAAGTAGCTACTGACATTCCTAAGTTTTAAAAATTTCAAGTACTATGTTAAAGAGAAGTAGGGATAGTGGAAAGCCTTGTCTGTTCCTGATTTCAATGAGAATGCTTCCAGTTTTTCTCCATTTGGATCAGGAACTAGACAAGGCTGTTCACTATCTCCACTTCTCTTTAACATAGTGCTTGATAGTCTTGCAAGAGCAACAGACAAGAGCAGGAAATTAAAGGAGTAATAATTGGAAAAGAATAGATCAAATTATCCCTTTTTGCAGATGATATTATATCTAAGGGACACCAAAAATTCCACCCGAAAACTCCTAGAAATTATTAACACATTCAGTAAAGTGGCAGTTTAAAAATTAACCTACAAAAGCCTATAGCCTTTCTACATATCAACAACAAGAAATCAGAAAAAGAGCACATGGAAACACTCCCATTCACAATAGCTGAAAAAAAAAAAAAAAGTCTCAGGATAAACCTGACTAAAGATATCACTGACCAAAGACATTAAAGAGCTCTACAATGAAAAGTTTAAATCTTTAAAGGAAGAAATGAGGAAGACATCAGAAGATGGAAAGACATCCCATGTTCATGGATTGGAAGAATTAATATTGTGAAAATGACCATCATACCAAAAGTCATATATAGATTCAATGCAATGCCAATCGAAATCCCCATTACATTTTTCACAGAATTGGAAAAAACTATCCTAAGATTGATATGGAAGCATAAAAGGCCTCAGAGAGCCAAAACAACCCTGAGCACTAAGAGCAATGCTGGGGGGATTACTCTACCAGATTTCAAGCTGTATTACGGAGTTATAATCATAAAAACAACATGGTACTGGCACAAAAACAGACCCATAGACCAATGGATCAAAATTGAAGACCCAAATATGAGTAAATGCAATTTCAGCCACCTGATATTTGACAAAGGGGCCAAGAACATTAACTGGAGGAAAGACAGCATGTTCCGCAAATGGTGCTGGCAAAACTGGATCTCCACTTGTAGAAGAATGAAACTAAACCCCTATCTTTCACCCTGCACAAAAGTAAATTCCAAATGGATCAAAGACCTCAATGTAAAGCCTGAAACTCTGAAACTATTAGAAGAAAACTTTGGGAAAAACCTACAAATATAGGCATAGAAAAGGATTTTCTAAACCGGACATTAATTGCTCAGGAAACAAGGGCAAGAATTAACAAATGGGACCTCATTAAACTAAAAAGCTTCTGTACATATAAGGAGACAACCAAGGAAGCAAACAGAAAACCCACAGAATGGGATATAATTTTCACCAGCAACACATCCGACAGAGGTTTAATAACCAGAATATATAACGAACTCAAAAAACAGAGAACAAAGACAAGATGCAACCCAATTAAAAGATGGGCTAAGGAGGTGAACAGATAGTTCTCAAAAGAAGAAGTAAAGATGGCTATGAAACATCTTAAAAGATGTTCAACATCACTAATAATTCGGGAAATGCAAATTAAAACCACTTTAAGATTTCACCTTACCCCAGTCAGACTGCTTAAGATCAAGAAAACAAATGATACCAAATGTTGGAGAGGATGTGGGGAAAGGGGAATACTGATCCACTTAGGATACAGAGAAAGGGGAAAGCTCATTCACTGCTGGTAGGAATGTAAACTCATGCAACCATTATGGAAAGCAGTGTGGAGAACTCTTAAAAAACTAAAAATGCATCTACCATATGATCCAGTTATAACACTCCTTGGCATATACCCTAAGAACTCATCCTATTGCAGAGACACTTGTACACCCATGTTTGGTGCTGCTCTTTTCACAATAGTTAAGAGATGGAAGTAACCTAAGTGTTCCTCAATTGATGAGTGGATAACGAAAACGTGGTTCATTTATACGATGGAGATTTACTATGCAGTAAAGAAAGATGAAATCATGAAATTTTCAGGTAAATGGATGGAACTACAAACTGTTATACTAAGTGAAGTAACACCTCAGAAAAAAAAATCGACATATGTTCTCCTTCATATGTGGATCCTAGAACTGGACTCTGATAAATAAGTACACAACCAGACATAACTACAGGATCCAGGATAATGGAAAGGAAACAGGGAGGTAAAGGAAAAGAAAGAATCTGAAAGAGAAGAACAAGTAGGAAACAGGCCTTAATAAGGGAGATATGGATAAAAATTGGGTTAGTTTTAGGGAAGGGGGAGGGAAGGGTATACAAAGAACCTAGGGATAAAGAGAAACAAGGAGCTCATGAGAGAACCATAGGAGAAGGGTATTAGTAAGGGAGAAAGTGGGGAAATGGGGGCACCTTAAGTGAGAAAAAAATTATGGAGGGGTGAGACAATGCGAGATATAAACAATGACTAGCTAGTTTTGAAAACCAGAGGGAACCATATTACTCCAACAACCTACTGACAAATTATACATTGCATATCAAGAAATATATGTCTAGATAAGGTTTATTTGAGAAAACCTGGTCTTTGCCCAAGATTTACGTACATGACACACAGTAATTAATAGTACCAGACTGGTGGATCTAACCTTCTTGGTGTTTAACAAACACACTTTGAGGCCTATAATAATTTGGTCAGAGGGATATAAAGGACACTTTTTGCTCCTTGCCCTCCTAGGTCGACTAGTTCGAGGGGAATATGAGCATTTCTCAAAATGTCCTATAATTGTGGTGGGTCACTTTACTCTTGATCAAGGAGACTGAGGAGACCCTACCAGACGGGCTTGAACCAGTGTCCAGTCTATAAAAAGGATTAATACAGAGGAATCATTTCCTCTATGCTTCCAAGCGAAGCCAACCATGGTCGAGCAGGA